TTTTGAACACAACTAATTTTTTGTTTTATAATATGTTCGTCTTATTGTGTATGTAACATGTTCATCTTATTCTATAACATGTTCAATTTATTATGTAACATGTTCATCTTATTTTATAAGATGTTCATCTAAATTTCATCTGTGAAAATGTAACATTTTCATCTTATTAGAGAGGATTTTGGTTTGTGAAGGTGGAGGATATTTGATCGAAAGACTAATTTATGGAATTTCTTTTACATTCTACTAGTTTTTCACTTTCATTCCCTATAGTATGACTATTGCATAAATTTGAGTTATTAACTGTAGATTATGGTTTATTATTTCAGGGCGGAGATGTTTGCATTAAACGAGTGAAAGTCGAGCAAGAAATTGACCAGAATTTTGTGTATGAAGTGGAAATGAGAGAAAATAATGTGAGGGCCCCTGATGTAGATATGGAATCTAAACTTATTCATTTTATTCTATAACATGTTCATTTTATTATGTAACATATTCATCTTATTCTATAACATATTCATTTTATTATGTAACATGTTCATCTTATTTTAGAACATGTTCATCTAAATTTCATTTGTGAAAATATAACATGTTCATCTTATTTTAGAACATGTTCATCTAAATTTCATTTGTGAAAATGTAACATTTTCATCTTATTCTATGACATGTTCATCTTACTCTATAACATGTTCATATTACTATGTAACATATTCATCTAATTATAGATTTGCGTCATAATCTTCCAATAAGATAAATTTATTGTAAAAATTGATAAATTGATTGTGTTCCAAAAAATATCAAATGTGGTCTCTATTTGTAGAGAATGAAAAATTATGAATTTTGGCATTTTTATTTTTATTTTTTAATACAAAACATGAATGATAATTTAATTTATATAATATGATATATGAGACACATTTCCCATTTTAAAAAAAATACATACCTCCTTACCTCACGCGCCTTTAGGAGGATTGTATTTCACAAAAGCCCCTGACACACCTAGCAAGGTGTTCCAGTATTTGCCAATTACAAGTCAATTAAAGGTGTGAAAAGCATCAGCAATATAGTTATTTTTATTATTATTATTATTATTTTTCAAATCCTTTAAAGTTACCATCTTTTTTGAATTTAAATGATGGGTTTGAGGAATTCTTTTTAAAAATCATTAAAATTGTTGTTATTTTTTTTCCCCATGTGGATAGAGTCTAGTAATAGGCATATATATAGCACCAACTAAAAGAAAGAGATATACAAACTGACCCAATAAAGAAGGATAGATAAAATAAGGAAAAGTAATCTAGCAAAAGTGTGTTGTTTCAAGATCATACAAATAATTAAAAAAAAAATTAAATGATTTGAAATAAAATATATAGATATAATAATATTCTTAATTTCATATAAATGTGGCCAAATTCAATATCTTCATGCAGAAGGAAGAATTTCCAGTGCAACTTCCTTTAAAGATGGCATTTTTTCCTGCTTATGAACACAAATGTATTTGTCCCTCTTCTTTCTAAGAACTTTCCAGGGCCCAGGGTAGGACCTGTCCAATAGTAAAACAAATACTAATTAATATTAGAATTTATTTTATTTTATTTTATTTTATTTATTTATTTATTTTTGTTGTTGTTGTGATTAATAAGTCAATAATAAGTATTTGAACCTGAAAAGTGCTCCTCCATTTCTTCCCTTGAAGTTGTGAATGTAATAAACAGTTTCCATCTTGGGAAAGAATGAATTAGAAAGTGCAGCCAGTTTTGGGTAGAAAAATGGTGGATAGTCTTCACATTTAAGGTTGTAAAAGAAAAAACTAATGTGAGACGGTCTAACGGCCGTTAGACGAATCGACTCGTCATATCCTTTTAACAAAAATACATACTTATACCATAAAATACAGAGAGAAAAAAAAGGATACAGCCAGATCTTATTCTGTCGAGTTCACCGTTGAAAATAATCAATTTGCGGTTCGTTTTCTCCACGGCTTCTTTATAAAGTTCTTCCACAACAAGCATCTCTGTGTAAGTAATCTATAATGGTTAGGCAAACACGAAATGAATCGAATTTAAAGCCCGAAAAAACCGAAATATTATATACCATTGACGTTAAAATACGGGTAGCCAACTAGGAATAGTTCGTCCTCTGGCTTTACTCGGTCGGCCATTTTCACTTTTGTTCCAAAACCGAAATCTTCGAAAAACGATGGTTTTGTTAGGTAATCGAGCTTCAAAGATGAGCCTCCGAAAATTGATTTTCTTGCGAATGTGACCTCATTAGCCTCGGGAAAAAACTGCACAAACACATCCAAAAGGAAAGTTCATTTCTAATCGAATCGACTTTCAGCACAACACTTAAAGATAACAAGTTTTATTGTTCGGTACGTACGATTCGAGTTCGAGTGGCTTTTTGGGGACTAATGGTAAGATCACAGAATGCTCGGATCATCTGAATGCTCCCGGTCATCTCTATACCTCCTTCACCATCACCTAATTAAAGAAAAAAAAAAAAAGATGATTCGAAAAGTCGAAAGATTCATTGTAATTTCATTTTTGTATTTTTCGAAAAATGATGAAAATTGCTACCCGGAACCGAGTCCAAACCGGCAGTAGGAAATTCGATTTCCTGTGGGAGAAACTTGTTTGCTCACAAACTCTGAGAAGTTTTTTGAATGATGATATCACATTTTTCTTACAGAAAAATAAATAAATAAATAAAGGTGTTACACCACAAATACCTGGACCGCTGGACCGCTCCTCTCCGAACCGGGTTACGTCTCCTTGATCGCCGGTACCTGCAAAACACGCCGGGGGTAGTCCCGGCGCGAACACTCCGACGCTCAAGTCAGTGGTGGTCCGAAGAAAAAGTGGCAGAGTAACGAGAGAATTTGTATGTGTGTCTTGTGTAAATGAAATAACCTGCTCCCCTTTTATAGATGAAGTCATCTAGAGGTTGAAGAGTTCTTATCATACCATGAGTCTTTATCTGAATTAGGTCAAGATCCTAAGAGTCCTTGAGGTTGCGAACCTCTTCATGACTTGAACACGATACCACCTCTGGGCGCGGGTCTCCCCAGCGGGACGCCCAACTACCTAGGTGCCTAGGTGCCCTGCCTAACTCACGTTGAGCTGGCCTCCGCCTACCAAAGCATCCGCCTACCAAAGCATCCGCCTACCAAAGCACCCGCCTACCAAAGCATCCGCCTACCAAAGCCTCCGCCTACCAAAGCATCCGCCTACCAAAGCATCTGCCTACCAAAGCATCCGCCTACCAAAGCCTCCGCCTACCAAGGCATCCGCCTACCAAAACATCCGCCTACCACCCATGTACCCCAAAGGTACCATGGGTCGTGCCTACCAGATTGAACCACCCAGTTGAGTGCGACTAGAACCCGGGTCACAACCGGTCTTTCATGAGCCGCTACTAACGACCACATCATCTAGCCCCCCATTCCTTAGACAAGTTGAGCTTGTTGTAAGGAATGAACAGTTACACGTGTCGTAACAAGCACCAACCTTATCCAAATTTTCCTTAATTGCTAATTCAGTTGCTTCCTTAGCCTATATATCAATCATTACAGGCTTGAAGTTATTTTCAAATATCCCAAAGAAAAAAAAAAACAATTTCTTGATGAGACAGCCTAACCGTGAGGCGGGTCGACTCGTTATATTTTATTAAAAATAAAATACTTACATACTTATGCTGCGAAATGTGATCATGCCTAATTGGTGAATACTTCAATAAATAAATATAAGAAAGCATGACTAATTGGTGAAATAAATTGAAGTAAGATGGAGTTAATTTGTTATAGAAACTTTTCTTTTTCAAGAATTAACCTTGATTAGTTGCAGTGGGTGAAAATTGTTCCTTTTTCTTTTCTTCTTTTGTAATATAATTTTAATTTGTATATTATTTCAATATTCAAATGTTCCAGTCCCCGTTATGGAACCATTCGTTCGGGATTTTGTAATTGTTCGATCATCATGTAACCGTCTCGGATAGTTGATCTAACGGTTACAAACCTCGAAAGAATGGTCCGTAACGAGACCGTAGAATCTCCCTTAATTAAAACATCAACATAGCTTCAGTTTGAGTCAGAAAATAGATTATCAGCAAAGCTTACCTGTTTCAGAAGCTCATCATAATCACTTGGAAATGGCAAATCAAACTCTACAGATGAACCACTTTCCCCAGAAGCAGCTTTAATCACAAAACAGAGGGTTCTTGATAATCTTTTGCTAATTTTTCTTTTCCCATAAAATTTATTTTGATCAACCCAAGAGCATCCATAATTATGGACCTATATATCAATGAGTACCCAAAAAAAATAAAAAAAATAAAAAATAAAAAATTAAAGAAATAAATAAACTGCCTGTAAATAAATTATTAAATTAAAACAAAAAAAAACATTTTAAAAAAAATAAAATTAACTGGGTATGTGACTAACCTGTAATCTTGAAGGGGAGAAGAATGGAATTGGTGGAAAGGCAGCAACAGTTGCAGAATTTAATAACAGCATTTTGAAACCCAATTTTTTTTTTTATTTTAATATTGAGAGGTAGCTAACATATTATGTTGGTGAGAATAAATTAAATAATAAATAAAATTAATAAATATTTTTCACTTGTGGACTGTGTTTGTGTTGGATTTTGAGCTCCTTTTATATATGTTGGAAAATTTATTGAATGAATTTGTAACATAAAGTTTATTTGTTGAAACCGTGTCTTTCACTTACAAAGTACAATTTGTTTTCATGTTACAAATATAATTTCATTAAATTTTGAATTAATGGTATTAAATGAAGTATTAAGGTAAGTGGCTTGCTTAAAGCCTATATAAGAAGACTTGTCTTCTTTTGATGAAATACACGAAACAAAATAAAATATTTCCAAAGTCTTATTCCCCCATATGTCTTTTAAGTGTTTTGGTCCAGGCATAATTCCAATTCGCCGGATTAGTTTCGGTTTTTCCGTTGTATCCTGGGAAACAGACGCTCATACAGGGCGAATCTGTTTTAAGGACACTGTGTTATCACAGGCCTCGGTATTATATATTATAGCCATCTTATTTTTATTTTCCCGTTAAAGTTCCCTACAATCTTAAAACAGAATCCGATTAAAAATGGCAGCTGAACAAAATACTATTGGCGTTGCTAATACCGGTGGTGCTACTACAATTTCTATTTCTTCTTTTGTTCCGGTAAATCATGCTGATAAACCGGAAAAATTTAATGGCTTGAATTTCAAGCGTTGGCAGCAAAAGATGCTGTTTTATCTCACTACGTTGAACCTTGCGAGGTTCTTGACGGAAAATCCACCAAAGTTGGGGGAAAAACCGGATGTTCAAGCGGTTAGTGCGCTTGATGCATGGAATCACTCGGATTTCTTGTGTAGAAATTATGTGATGAACTGCTTGGCTGATACACTGTACAACGTGTACAGTTCTATCAAAACAGCAAAAGAGCTGTGGGAGTCTTTAGATAAAAAATATAAAACTGAAGATGTTGGAGCCAAGAAATTTCTTGTAGGTCGGTTTCTGGACTACAAGATGGTTAACTCGAAGAAAGTAATCAGTCAAGTGCAAGAGCTTCAAATAATCTTGCATGATATCCATTCTGAGGGAATGGTTGTGAATGAAACTTTCCAGGTGGCTGCCATAATTGCAAAGTTACCACCGAGCTGGAAAGATTTCAAAAATTATTTATTACATAAGAAAAAGGAAATGACCGTTGAAGAGCTCGTTGTTAGACTCCGAATTGAAGAAGACAACAAGGGCTACGACAACAAATTGGTTAATCCTTCTTTGGCAAAGACCCATGTTGTTGAGCATGGTGAAAGCTCACGTAAAAATAATAAGAAAAAATATGGCAATGCTGACAAGGCAATAATGGGGCCAAAGAAACAAATTTTCAAGAAAAAAATTTCTGGAAATTGTTATAATTGTAATAAACCTGGCCATAAGGCATCTGATTGCATGTTGCCAAAGAAAACTCAAGAAGCCCACATGGTGAAAAATCTGGCCAAAGATGTTGATGAGATGCACCTCGCCGCAGTTATATCCGAGGTGAATCTAGTGGGCTCAAATCCACATGAATGGTGGATTGACACGGGTGCTACCCGTCATGTTTGCTCTAACAAGGAATTGTTTAATGTCCTTGACGAGACTGTGGATGGAGAAAAGCTCTTCATGGGAAATTCTGCCACATCTGACATCAAATGAGTGGGAAAAGTGGTACTGAAGATGACATCTGCAAAAGAGTTGACTCTTAATAATGTCCTTTATGTACCAGAAATTTGTAAGAACCTAGTCTCTGGTTCTTTATTGATCAAACATGGTTTTCGTGTTGTGTTTGAATCTGATAAGGTCATTTTGACTAAAAATGGAGCATTTGTAGGGAAGGGTTATGAATGTAATGGGCTTTTTAAGCTCAATGTGATGACGATTAATAAAAATGTTAATTCTTCCGTTTATATGCTTGAGTCTTCCATTGTGTGGCATGGTAGACTGGGACATGTCAATTATAATACCCTGCGCAGGTTAATAAAATTGAAAAGCATACATGTGTTCCATATTGATTCAAAACATAAGTGTGAAACTTGTGTTGAAGCAAAATTGACACGATTACCGTTTCAAACTATTGAAAGAAATAGTGAACCACTTGATTTAATTCACACTGATATATGTGATTTAAAAGCTGTCATGACACGTGGTGGAAATAAATATTTCATTACTTTTGTAGATGATAACACTAAATTTTGTTATGTGTATATTCTCAAAAGTAAGGATAAAGCGATAGAGAAATTTATTCTCTATAAAAATGAAGTTGAAAATCAGTTAAATAAAAAGATTAAGGTGATAAGAAGTGAAAGGGGAGGTGAATATGAGTCACCTTTCGCTGAATTTTGTGCCCAACATGGGATAAGACATGAAATGACAGAACCTTATTCACCGCAACAAAATGAGATTGCAGAAAGAAAAAAATCGTACTTTGAAAGAAATGATAAATTCAATGTTGTTAAGTTCTGGACTTTCGTAGAACATGTGGGGAGAAGCTGTGTTATCAGCAAATTACCTTTTAAATAAGGTTCCTCGTAAAAAGATAGACAAAAGCCCATATGAATTATGGCATGGAAGACCACCATCCTACAAATACTTGCGAGTGTGAGGGTGTTTGGCAAAAGTGGCAATACCTACGCCAAAGAAAATAAAGACTGGACCAAAAACTGTTGATTGCGTATTTATTGGATATGCACACAACAGTAGTGCTTATCGTTTTCTTGTACATAAATCCAAAATTGAGGAAATTAATAAGAACACGATACTTGAATCTAGAAATACTTCATTTTTTTAGCATATATTTCCACGTAAGTCTGAAGTGGATTCTAGTTCCATTAAAAGAAATTTGGAAATAATGAAAAAATATCAAGATGGATATGCTGAGGTAGAACCTCGGAAAAGTAAAAGAGGTAGGATAGAAAAATCTTTTGGTCCAGATTTTCTAACCTATATGGTTGAAAGCGAACCACAAACGTTTTCAGAAGCTGTAAATTCTTCTGAAGGACCTCTTTGGAAAGAGGCAATCCAAAGTGAAATTGATTCCATTTTGCAAAATCACACATGGGAGCTAGTGGATCTTCCTACTGGAAGTAAACCATTGGGCTATAGATGGATTTTCAAAAGAAAAATAAAACCTGATGGAACAATTGATAAGTATAAGGCTAGACTTGTGATTAAAGGATATAAATAAAAAGAAGGCCTTGATTACTTTGATACATATTCTCCCGTGACGAGGATAACATCCATCAGGGTGATTATTGCAATTGCAGCTTTACGAAATCTTGAAATACATCAAATGGATGTAAAAACAGCTTTTCTAAATGGAGATTTAGAAGAAGAGATTTATATGGAGCAACCTGAAGGGTTCTCTGCTCCCGGGCAATAGAATAAAGTTTGCAAATTGGTTAAGTCTTTGTATGGCTTAAAACAAGCTCCAAAACAATGGCATGAGAAGTTTGATAATGTCATGATTGAATGTGGATTTAAAATTAATGAATGTGATAAATGTGTTTATGTTAAAGACACAGAAAAGGGTTATGTAATCTTATGTCTTTACGTAGATGACATGCTTATCGTTGGAAGCAATGATAAAATTATTAAATCCACAAAAGATATGTTAAATTCAAGATTTGACATGAAAGATATGGGTCTAGCTGATGTGATTCTTGGAATTAAAATTCATAGAACATCACAAGGAATTGTTCTGAGTCAGACACATTATGTGGAGAAAATCCTTGAAAAATTTAATAAGGATGATTTGACTCAGGCTAGGAACCCGATAGATACAAGTCAACATCTGTCGAAAAATAAAGGAGAAAGTGTTTCTCAAGTCGAATATTCAAGGGTGATAGGGAGTCTGATGTATCTAATGAATTGTACTAGACCAGACATCGCCTTTGCCGTGAGTAAACTGAGTAGATATACAAGTAATCCAGGAAATGAACACTGGAAAGGAATTGTGAGATTACTCAGATACTTGAGATATACTTGTAAATATTGTTTGCACTATTGTAAATATCCAGCTGTAATTTAAGGCTATAGTGATGCCAACTGGATATCTGATATGAAAGATTCTAAATCCACTAGTGGATATATATTCACTTTGGGAGGTGCAGCCATATCATAGAAATCTTCTAAGTAGACTGTTATTGTCAGATCCACAATGGAGTCCGAGTTTATAGCATTGAACAAAAGTGGAGAAGAGGCAGAGTGGCTTCGCCATTTCTTAGAAGATATTCCAAAATGGTCTAAGCCAGTGCCAGCCATTTGTATACATTGTGATAGTCAATCGGCGATAGGAAGGGCACAAAGTAATATGTATAATGGTAAGTCTAGACATATTCGTCGTAGACATAATACCATTAGACAACTACTCTCAACTGGTACTATATCTATTGACTATGTGAAGTCAAAAGATAATCTTGCGGATCCGCTAACCAAAGGATTAAATAGAGAGTTAGTTGTTAAATCTTTGAGAGCAATGAGACTTAAGCCTCTAGAAATGAGTTGATACAATGGAAACCCTACCTTGTTGACTGGAGATCCCAAGATCTTGGTTCAAAGGGACAACCTAATTGTAAAAAGACTCTTGTGATCACTATAGGATTTTATCCAATGTCCATTCCTTAAACAATGATACCCGTGGTGAGTAGGATAAGCATTTGGCTTTTAATGATTCTTGTATGGGAAGGTAGTACGGGCTACTTGTAATCATGAATCACCTATGTGAGAGAGAAGTGGGGCCGCTTTGAAGAGAATTGTGTGAGGCTCAATTCTTAGACCCCTCACAGAACCAGGCTATGTCCAGGGCCATTAATGGACATAATAATGAGAACTGGAATATGTTAGGGAGAATCATGTGTGAAGTATATTTATCGTTTACACAAAAAGCAGAACAGTTCAAAGACATCGCGTCTACTGGTCAGCTAGTAAAGTTGATGTGCTTTCACAAGGGAAGGTTCAAAGGGTAACACCTATTTATCCTATGCAGGTTTCAACTGTCGGACCATAACATGTTTTTGTGTTATTTTCAAATTCATTAATGTGGGGGATTGTTGGAAAATTTATTGAATGAATTTGTAACATAAAGTTTATTTGTTGAAACCGTGTCTTTCACTTACAAAGTACAACTTGTTTTCATGTTACAAACATAATTTTATTAAATTTTGAATTAATGGTATTAAATGAAGTATTAATGTAAGTGGCTTGCTTAAGCCTATATAAGAAGACTTGTCTTCTTTTGATGAAATACACGAAACAAAATAAAATATTTCTAAAGTCTTATTCCCCCATATGTCTTTTAAGTGTTTTGGTCCAGACATAATTCCAGTTCGCCGGATTAGTTTCGGTTTTTCCGTTGTATCCTGGGAAACAGACGCTCATACAGGGCGAATCTGTTTTAAGGACATTGTGTTATCACAGGCCTCGATATTATATATTATAGCCATCTTATTTTTATTATCCCGTTAAATTCCCTACTATATATTCTCTCTTTCTCTCATTGGGTAGTTCTTTTTCATCCTTTAAAATTAAATAATAAATAAAATTACTTGGGACGTTTGTGATAGAGCATATTTATGATATTTTTTTTGAGTATGAATAATTTGATGGGTACAGAGGTGGAATTTGTCGAACTCGTACAATGTTACATAATAAATAATGGCATTTCATTGGATAACTATTGTTTCATCGTTTTATTAATAAAGTTGGTAAAATATTTTCCTATATTTTGTCTTAACGTTCTAAATTAAACAGACAAATAAACTTCATATAAGAATTAATTTAATTCATAAACAAAAAAATCCAATATAATAATTTATGTATTTCATATATTGAATTAAACAACCTAATAAAACCATATAAAAATTTATTTATTTATCTATATACAGAACACATGCACTAACAACAACGGGAAGCACACTGAAGAATGTAATGCACAAGACTATCATCTCCACTGAATGGACTGAAACTGCACCCTTCAAAGGATGTGATGCACAAGACCATGTAATACCTAGAACGGATAGACTTCCATATCATTAGTTTAATAAACTTTAGGGCCTCACTTAACATTAATACACCATTATTGCTAAAGAGTTTGCTCAATTAATAAGATTACAAAATTATTAATAATCAAACTCACTAAATATATTAATTGATTTTGTTTTCTTCCAATGTTAACTTGAATAATATACTTGTTTCATCTTTATTTATTTATAGAGAACCAAGATATGTCTGGTTCGGATGAAATAATATAGATAAAATAAGAAATTCATGTTTACGACATGGATTAGTTACAGAGAATTCACTCAATTTTGGTTAATGTTTTAGAAAATACTTCATTGATCTTCTAATAATAATATAATTTTAATATTTATTATTGTATTTAATTATATATTTATCAATCATCTATGGCAACTGAAATAAGTATGTACGACAATATATATAATTAGTTTTTTTTTTTTTTTTTTTTTT